GGGCGGGGCTTGGCTGCGTGTCGGAAGTGTGGCGGACTGGGCGGGGCTTGGCTGCGTGTCGGAAGTGTGGCGGACTGGGCGGGGCTTGGCTGCGGGTCGGAAGTGTGGCGGACTGGGCGGGGCTTGGCTGTGGGTCGTAAGTGTGGCGGGCTGGGCGGGGCTTGGCTGCGGGGCGGGGGCGCGGCGATGGTGTGGCTGGGCGGAGCGGCGGGCACGGAGGGCGCAATGGAGCCGCAGCTGGGGCTTCATGAGCTCCTGCATGTCTTCTCCTACCTGGAGGCGCGAGACCTGCTCTGCGCCGCCCAGGTGGACAAGGTAGCGCGCCTTATCCTGGGAGGGAGGCGGGACTACACTCACGGGCGCGGCTGGCCGGCCCTGCCCACCGGGCCTCAGTTTCCCCACCGGTTCAGTGGCCCTGAACCGGTGATGGGCGGCCAGCCCTGTGCCCAGAATGGGACCCTGGCGACCCTTGGAGGGCCTCCCCTGGAAACTCTCCCCACTCTGAACCCTCGGTTGTCTGAACGAGGTGCAACTTGGGATTGGCACGCGTATCAGACTTCTTCCCTCTCTTCTGGAATATTCTGGGATTTTCCTCAGGGGCCTTACCAGAGAGCAGGCGCCCCCTGCAGGCTTAGTCTGTGCCTGCACAGCTCTCCTCCTTCCCACCCCCGCCCTGCCCTACCGTTTGTGCTCACCTGTGCCGGTGAGAGCCCTACAGTGTGTGGGTTAGTGTCTGCTTTCCCCGACACTTTCCTCAAGAACTGGGAATTTGTCTTTTGCATTATTGTTTTTGGCACTTAGTGTAGCCTCAGTAATTATTTGTAGAGTACATGGGCTTCTTTACTTTTAAAATACATTATTGTATTGTGGAACACAAAGATTAAAAACAGATAATTGCTTGAGTTCTGTGGTTATAATTTTCAACATACCAAGAAGAGACTGGTTTTCATGAATAATTAAAGTCCCAAACAGTTGCCCACAGTCACTCGGCCAGCCTGGCACAGTGCAGGAGCTGGCGCCTTGGCTGTTCTCACAGAGGGAGGGTGGGGCTTAGACGCCCTCCTCCCCTTCCGGACCACCCCGAGCCTCCAAATCCTGCATGGTGTGGGGCCCTGCGTGCCCTCCTCAAGGCGACTGATCTTTGCTTTTCTCTTGGACTTGCTGGAATATTCCCTGGGCCAGTGCCCAGGGCCCCAGCCTTCCCTCAGGACTGCTGCTCAGCCCTTATTTCCAGTCTTTGCTTCTTGGAGAGCAGTAATCATCCTAAATCAGTTTGACCTGCCACTCTCCCACTCTTAATTGGTAATTGGCTTCTCACTGTGCTTGCCATTATGATTTAAGGGATTTGATCCAAACCAATCTGTAGCCAGTACAAAACCAGTCTTTTCCCAGAAACATAGATTCTAGTTAAGGCACTTTTCTCAAGTCGAGGCTGAGTAATTCTACGTCTTCCTGCCCTTTTCTGTTAGGGAACACCCATACATCCTTTGGGATTTTACCAGTAATCATTTCTGAGCCCACTGGTCTCACAGAGTTGGTCATTCTCTCCTTTTGTACTTATTATTTGGTTGTTTTGTTTGTCCAGAAATGTTTCTTCTTTTCTTTTTTAAAGATTTATTTATTAATGCATATAGGAGCTGGGCTTCAGGCCAGGGCTGGGGGGTGAGAGGACTCACCAGAGAGAGTGGGGAGCAGAACAGGCGGATACACTGAAACACACTGCTGAGGGGAGCAGCAGGCAAGACAGGAGAGGTCTGCTGTGCCATGTGGGTCAGTCAGCTCCCTGACTGGGGACTAAACTTGGGCTGCAGTAGCTGCAGGTAACTTCATAGTTACCTTAGACCTTGCACCACCAGAGAGCCCCCAGTCCAGAGAGATTTCTAACTCCCAGGGTGTATGTATTTCTTGAGTGTAGGTTCTGGATCTGAAGCAGCTGCCTTGTCCCCTTCACAGGGCCTAGCAGGTTCTAACTCCATCACCCAGATACCTTTTTTCTCTCTCTTGTTCTAGGCCTGGAATGAGGTTTCAACAACCAAGGAACTGTGGAGGTGAGTGAAGAAGAGTGAGTGCTTGGGAGAGTAACTTGCCAGGGAGAGGTGGGAGCACTGCTTAAGTCCTTAGAGCCTTCTGTGTTTCTTGCTCTGTTGACAACACATTCCCTATAAGCAAGAAACTCCTTGGTTGGCGTAAGCTTGGTTGGGCGTAAGCTTGTTTTATGGTATACTGGAACATGAGAGATTTTATTAATCCAGTGGAAGATTAATAGCAGGGGTGCCCAACTGAGCAGAAATGTACAGCAAGTGAATGCAGCTGGCTGAGATAAGACAATCAACAAATGATTTTTAATCTAACTTTGGTGTAACAACACAGTAATTTACATATGTATGATATTAGCACTTAAAATAAGTGTTCTTTCCTCCTTGCCCTAATTTGGAATCTGACATCTTCTCTTTTGTCCCAAGATGTGTCAGATCTTCTGCCTGTTGCTGAAACTGGGCAGAGTGTGGCCTTGACTCTGTCACTAGGGGCTATTTTTAGTTTTAATCATTAGTCATGGAAAACAGCTGTTCACACGTGGCAGTAGTCTAAACATGGAGAGAAATTTTGCTTGATGTCTTTATTTTTAGGGTATCTGTACATTCTGGAATCTAATCTTCCCATACTTAGTTTTCGGTGAAAACTAAGACTAAAACAAAAGCACTGGTATTTTGTTGGCTTTTCATTACTTATAATATGAATTAGAAAAACTATCTTAATCTCTTTTGTCAGTTTTGAGGAAAGAACTTTCTTGTATTTCAGTGTTTATGATCCTCCTCAGGACAGGATGCATGGTAGAAGCTCCAGAGAGAGATTTAGTGGACATCCTCATGTTAGACCCCCATCAGCATACAATCTGTGGCTAGCATTAAGGAAAAGGCAAGATTGGCTTTGGAAGCAGCGTCAGGAGAAGTACGCATTCTGACCAGACTCCTGGCGGATCCTCCTTCCTTCACAGGCAATCTGGAACAGCCCCGGGTTCTCGGCGCTTGTTCCTTCCTTAGGTGCTCTGACGAGGCCTTCCTGATAAGTAGGACCCTGCCCTTTCTTTATTTCCAGTTATTCTCCACAGCTGTGTGCTCTGTTAAACTTAGCTTGGCTACATGTGGAGCCCATAGAGACAATGTTAATGTTAGGGTCTCTTTTTATTTCAAAAAAAAAACCCACCAAATGACATATGTAAAGCCTATCTTTTTACTACATTAAGATACATAAATTGGGGCCTCCCTGGTGGCGCAGTGGGTTAAAGCACAGCAGTAAGAAGCTAAAGCCACTTCAGCATGAGTTCAATTCCCGCCTGCCCGGGAGGTGACCCACATGGCATGGCAGACCTCTCCTGACCTGCCTGCTGCTCCCCTCAGCAGTGTACTTTATCGATCTGCCTGTTCTTCTCCCCGCTCTGTGTGTGTGGTGAATCCTCTCACCACCCCTGCACCTCTGGCCTATACCCCAGCTCTATATGCATAAATAAATAAATCTTTAAAAAAAAAAGATACATAAATTATATAAATTAAATACTCCCATAAAAGGTTGGTAGAAGGGATTAAAAAATATGATCCTGACCCTCCTTGGTGGCGCAGTGGGTTAAGGCACAGCACTGAGAAGCTAAAGCCACTTCCACGAGTTTGATTCCCGCCTTACCCGGAGGTGACCACATGGCGCGGCAGACCTCTCCTAACCTGCCCGCTGCTCCCCTCAGCAGTGTACTTCGTTGATCTGCCTGTTCTGATCCCCACTCTGCCTCTGGTGAATCCTCTCACCACCCCTGCACCTCTGGCCTATACCCCAGCTCTATATGCATAAATAAATAAATCTTTAAAAAAAAAGATCCAACTTTATGCTATCTAGGGAGACATATTTTAGGTTTTAAGATATAGACAGGTTGAAAATCAAAGAAAGGAAACATATACCATGTAAGTAGGTACCAAAAGGGTTGGAATAGCCAGGCTAGTTTGAGACAAAAGAGATATTAAGACAAAAAGCATTACTAGAGATGAAGGATGTTTTATGCTAAGTCAATCTATCAGGAAGATCTAAAAATTATAAACACTGTGCATGTAACAGAGCCACAACATCAGGCTGACAGTATTAAGGGGAGGCATAGACAATTCAACAAGAGTTGGGATGCCCAGGAATTCAGGCTCATGAATTCCAGTTTCATGACCAAGACTGTATGACCATGGGTTCATTACTTAGCCTCTGTCTCTCTGTCCTCATGTGTGGAATGAGGATCAGGACCCCTAACTGGATACACAAAAGTGAGCCATTCTCTTGTCATTTCATCATGCCCCCATTTAACCAAGGGGAAAACAGGTCTGTGTGGGTAGAATGGGTTTTCCAAGCTAACAGATGGTGAATCAGCCAGGGGTCACAGTTAGGCATCTTAATACCAGAATACCTTCCAAGGACTGCTCCACCCTACCTGGGATTGTGGGTCCTTTTTTCAGGCAGCTGTGTCTGAGACGGTGGTCCTCATGTAAGGCCTCCCACATGGTCCTGGGCACCCAGACATGGAAACAGTACTATCTCTGCCGATCCGAGCTGGAATTCCGAATGGAGTCGGGGAGGCCAGAGAAGGATTTCACTTGCAAAGCCATTGCTGGCCACAAAGGTATGGGGGCAGGAGTGGGCACCCCCAGTCAAGTCCCAGAACTTGATGTTTCCACCAGTCAATTGGAAGCACTCCATGAGAACTCTGATGGCTTCTACGTCTGTGTTATGTCACGTGTCCTCAAAGTGACCCCAAGAGGAGGGGGTCACTGCATTGATTTCTGAAAAAGAAGCCAACACTGAGAGACTGAGGAGTTGTTCACGGTTACAGGCTTAAGACAAAGGGTGGGCGGTCCTGGTCGTTTGGGGCTGCAGCAGCCCCATCTCTAGCCAGCGCTGTTCCCTAATGTGAGCTTATCTTACTCCTGAGAGACAGGCTTGACTTCCTGCCTGTGCTTTCACCAGGTGGAGTGTTCCCATCCCAGAAGTTTGTGCATGTTCAAGGTCAGTCTGTTCTCTTTCAGGAGAGATAGACGAGTTGGCATACATCTCAAACAATGAGTACCGTTTTGATGGGCAGGAGAAGTCGGTGGTGTGCACTGTGTCCTCCGATGGCACTGTGCGTGCCTGGGATGTACACGAGGTGAGTAAAGGGGTGAAGGTGGACCCCATGCTTGCGGTATACTCAGTCTGAGACACCCTTCATCCTTATTCAGCCAGTACAAGAGACGTGAAGTGAGGAGGGTGAGCCCCGATAAGGAGGGTGAGGACTGACAGCATCAGAGCTGAGGGACTGGATGGCTGTGCCAGTGCAAGCTGCAAGCACCAGTCTGACTGATGGCAGATGCCCTACGCTGCCCTGCTTAGCAGAAGGGCATGCGAACAGTGCCTGGTGGGGGCCAGCACTCAGACCTGAGATGTCCATACTGGTGCTGCGGCCAGCCTGTCAGGTGACTTTGCCCAGCCAGTTGCAGGTTTTGGTCACCTCCTCATGCACACCAAGTGTTAAAACTGATAACCTCACAGTTCACATTTGGTTGTCACTTCAGAAAGCTTCCCTGTTTTCTTATTGGTTCTCATGGCATTTGAGCAGAGTGCTTATTATTTCTCATCCTAATTGGATACAAGTGGAGACACGTTGAGAGAGGAAAGATGCAAATCGAGGGGTTCTGCAGTGGCCCACTTGTAAACAGAGCCCAGCCTCTGAGGGGTTTTTTCCAGGAGAACCACAGCTTACCACAGGGCACCTTGGGTCCTCCCTTCATTCTGTAGCTCCTCTGGGCCCGTGAGTGTTCACTCCCTATTACTCATGTCTGCCAAAGTCACTAGCTTCTTTCTAGTGAACTTAGTGCCCAGACAGCAGAGCAGGGACCCACAGCAGGGTGCGGCAGCTCCACTCACTGCAATACCATGCAGTGAAGTATCGCATGCCCCTGCTAGCTTCTCCTTGAGCCTGAAACCACTGGGCCCGGGCCTCAGTCCTCCTCATGGCACCACCCCCCACAGGAAGTCCACACCAGGCTCAGGCCCTGCCGGCCTGTGTAGGACATGACTGGCCATGCAAACCCAACTTCCATGCTATGTTTCCTTGGGTACTATGGACACTCCCTGGGCAGAGTCCTTCCTTGGTGCCCGTGTGTGCTGACGGTAGTTGAACAGTGAAAGTAACACGTTTCTGAAATAAACAATGCCTGTCTAACATGCTCTGTTCACTTTGTTCTTGCCCAGGGCATTGAGATCTGGTCCAGCCCTCTCCAGCCTGCTGCTTTGGTGAACTTAGTGACCTACCCTCGGCTGCAGCTGGTTGTCACCGTGGATGAGCGAGGACAGATCAAAGCATGGAAGGCAGAGGACGGGTGGGAGTTGGCCTGCTACTGCCTCCCCTCACACTCGTCTGCCTTGGAGGCCTGTGACCACCCGGACGGCCCCTTCCTGCTGGTGAGTGACTGGCTCTCAGGCCCAGTGGACTTTCAGCTTGTGAACCCTGGCACGTGGCTGCCCTGATGGCTGGCACCTCCATCCAGGCCCCAAGTGAGGGCTTTCTCTCAGTGCCACCCAGCCCCGCATTCACACTCCTGCCCTCTCTCCTGGACTTAGATCAGCGTTTTTATTCCTCTGCAATCCTGGCAAGGGCCCACATGGGAAAAACTAAGGCAAGTTTGACATGTGACATTTGCCCAAAACTTCACCAGTCTTCTATTGTCAGGACTCTTGCTTTTAACATGACTCTTGGGCACTGGAAGTATTTAGCCATGTCGAGGGAGTGGCTCTTGACTGGAGGCGGTGGTCTCCCCTGTGGGGCAGAAGTTCTTTGTAAATTAGTGGACTGGTGTCCCAAGTGACAAAATGAGCAAAGATCCAGGACCAATTTCATGTGTAAAGAGAGCTGACTGTAAAGGATCTAAGTCTCAGCTAACAAAATAGCAATACCTGGTGAAAGAGATTTCCTATAAACAACGGTGTAGTCATTTGAGAAGGAAAAGTATTATTAGTTATCCAGCATAACTTAAGAATATGTTGCACAGATGAAGAAAAAACTATATGTCCCTCCTGGGAATGTGGACCATGAAGTTCATGCTCATCTCTGTGAAGAACAGATGGTAAAATTAGACTATCTAGATCTGCTAGTAGAGGAGAGCTGAAAAGGCCAGACCATTTCAAGGGCAGCCTTCTGGAGACGGCAGGCATCAAAGCTGTGGCCCCAGTGCTGGGCTGTTTTGTCCTGTTGCGTTTACTCTAAGGCACCTGAAGGCACAGAAGTCAACATGGGATCCACAGAGGAGGACAGATGTCAGCAGATGACTTAGAACAACAAACAATAACAACAGAATACTCAAATACAGAGGATGGGTTGGATAGTAGGATGGTGAGCTGAATCATAGGATTGGGGGAGGAAAGGGGAATTGGGGGCAGTTCACAGGTCCCTTTCTATGTTCTTTTTAACTTGGATGGTGATATGAACATTTGTTTTGTAATGATTTATTGAACTCTGCTTTATATGCAATTTTCCATGTGTGTTATATACACCAATGAAAATTTAGGAATATAGAAGAGGGTAAGTGAACTGGAAGCTTAAAAAGTTACCCAGAATGAAGCAGCTATCAGTGTGATGAATGCAAACACAGGGTGAGACTTGTATACTGGTTCAGACTATGAGGTTATGAATCACTTGGTTTTTTTTAAATGCAGATTCTCATTTGGGGTCCTTGGGAATACATGAAATTTTGACTTTTTTAAAAAGATTTATTTATTTATGAATACAAGAACTGGGATGCAGGCCTGAGGTGCAGGGGGTGAGAGGATTCACCAGAGACAGAGTGGTGAGCAGAACAGGCAGAACTACTGAAATACACTGCTGAGGGCAACAGCAGGCGAGACAGGAGCGGCCTGCTATGCCATGTCGGTCAGCTCCCAGCCTGGGTATCGAATTCATGCTTCAGTGGCTGGTGAAACCACTGTGCCACCAGGGAGGCCCTGAGATTGACTTTTTAACAAGCTTCTTGGGATTATTGATGCCCCCAGTTGCACAGAGCACACTCAGAGTAGCAAGACAATAAAGGAATCATAGACATAACCTCTTAACTTTACCTCTTAATATCAAATCCTAGTATTTGATATTATTCAGGGAGTGAATGGGACAGAAACTAGATAGATTTTTTTTTTTTTAATTAAATAGGCTAAGAGCTTTAAGCCAGGGAAGGCCTACAAATCTTTAGCAGGATAAATTAAAGAAAAAAAAAAGTGTGTGGTTCCCATCTTAACTGAAGAAAAAAATCTATTTAACAGCAGAAGTAACTGCCAAACAAAAGTTCTGTAACAGAAGTATTCTTCAAAACTGAAGGGAAATACATTACAAATAAACATGGGAAATTTGTGAAAAAATACTAATGGGGCTTCTTCAGGCAAACGAGCAGCGATAATACATTTGATCTCACAGAAACAGGAAAAGTGACGAATGACACCGAGAACATTAGGATAGAACTTCACACACCTCGAGGTTGGCTACGGCAGCGTCTAATGACTTTAAAGCCTCATGTTAGAGTGAGATTCCTCATAAGCATGAAGAATTAAAAAGTCTGAGATCCTTGAATTTCCTAGGAAGATTAAATGTAAGGCAATGCTGCATCTCTAATCTGATTCCCAAAAAGTAAAAGCCTGTAACTTGTGAGTCCTAAGAGGAAGAAGAATGTGCCTTATGGTTATCCCAGGGAGACAAGGTCAGTACAACCCAAGCTTTGACATGGCAATCGGGACTCTGATGCCACCAAAGAGCCTGAAAAGGTTAATCTGTCACCTGGGTGACTGGATGGGAGGAGGGCTCCCGGGGGAATGCTGCGTCTGGCTGTCTGGTCGTCTCCCCACACACAAACACAGGGAGGGCCTGACTCAGGCTGAGTGTGAGCCAGCCTTATGTGCTACCCGCTCCCCGCAGCCTTCCTCATGGGCCCAACAGAGATGAGCTGTCAGACATCAAGACATCAGCAGGGCAGACTCTCAGTTACATTTAATTTATTGTAATTTACTGTGTATGTAAACTGTTCTGGTGCTCTGTGGAGCCACCAAACAAACATTCTCTTGAATGACTTGCTGGAGAACTCCGCCTTGTGTATATTTAGAAGGAAGATGAGTATCTTGGTTGCTGTTGATGATGTCAGGGTCTCCAAAGGGGGTGGGGGTGTATGACATGTAGCAGCACCATTTATATATGGGGCATCTGGGAGGCAAGGGTTCCTGAGGTCTTCACTCCAAAAGGGGAAGCCCTGGGTGACTTTTATTTCTGCTGCCTTGCAGCCACATAGTTGGCAATGACCATGGAGTGTAAACACATCCAACTGGGGCTGCAGCATCAGGGAAGGCAGCTTGAGGTTCAACCATATGTGCCAGCTGTTGGGCCCACCCTCTATTAGGGTTAGTCCATTCTGGTGGGCACCTTACTTGTGACAGGTGCATCTTGTGGGTAGCACATGAGCTTGTTTACTCAGAGGATGGCCTTCTCCAGAAGCGTCGTGTGAAGCCTGCTTCCTCTTGCAAAAGTGTGCACCAAATGGCTCAGGTGCTTGATCTTCAAGATGTCGCTTCATTGCAGTCAGGAGGCTTCTGTGGCCTTGTTGATAGGGCCTCATGCATTCTGGGAACTGAAAATAATGGGCAGCCCAAGGAAAATACACAACTCATCTAATGTAGGGCACTTAAGGAAGGCTGGAGCTAAAAGTAATAGAAAATGCACCGGAGATGCCAGCCAAAAGCAAACTATGCAGCCATTCATTTGGACCAAAAGCCTACAAGTCAGAAGTTTTTACTTTTAGGGGACTTGACATAATATTAGATCAGCATCCCAGGAAGATAGAGGGCTAATTGCAGATGTCTCAAAAGGTGGCCTAAAGTATACAGAAAATAAATGGCAAGGAATTTCAAGGAAAGTACTATGGGAAACATCTGTTACACTGCTTAAGAGTGCTGATCTGGGGATCCCACTCTAACTCCTTAAGTGCTGGTCATAGAATGGGAAGTCAGATACTCAAGGGCCCACTGCTGGCTACTGAGTGGGGACCTGTCACCACTACGGTCCTGAACCGGCCAGCAAAGTAACCCCATTTCTACGGCTGAACAGTAATGAACTGCCAACAGTCTAGTGGGTCCCTGGATAGCTACCTGGCACCCTGGAGCCCTGGCTTAAATCTGTGTGGTTTCTTCTTTAACCCAGGGGTTCTGAGTTCTGTGTGCAAAGCAGTGGCTCATTTCAAGTTAGTGATATGAGCAGTACAAGGTCAGGCTGAGGCTCAGTTTTTCTAATGAATGTTCAGTATCTGTAGGAAAGGCCACCTTTTCATCACTGAATTACATTGGTGCCTTTGTCAAAATGTCAACTGACCCTACTAGAAGAGGTCAATTTCAACCCCTCTGTGTCTGACAGTGAACACAAGCCTCACTGGCAGCAGATTTATATAAAGTTGTAACCTCCAGCCTTTTTTTCAAAAATACAGGCATTTCCACAAACATTTTCAAGTCATTTGCCAATTTCTACAAAACTGCTTACTCATATTTTGATGGCATTGAATCCAGATTGATTTGGGACAATTGACATCTTAATATTATCTTCTAAGCTGTGAACATGGTATGTACATCTCCATTTATGTAGGCCTTCATTATTTCTCTCAACGGAATGTCACAGATTTAAGTAAACAAGATTTACATGTAAGTTGTTAAAATAATTCATAAGTATTTCATAGTATTTTAAATATTTAAAAAATTCACGTTCCAATTTGTCACTGTTCATATATAGCATATTATGTTAAGGAATACAGAAGAAAGTACACTTTTGCATTTATAAGGAAATTGCTTATATAGCACATATGTAGAAATCATTTCTATATACATGCACATAGAAATACACTTGATTTTTGTATGTAGACCTATCCAGCAATCTTGCTAAATTCACTTCTCTATTCTAGTGTGCTTTTTTTTTTGTAGTAGTAAAAAATTGTCATAGGTAGGTAAAGATTTTTTTTAAGATTTAAAAAATTTTATTAAAGCATACAAGAACTGGGGTCTAAGCCCAGAAGTTGGTGGGTGGGGGGTGAAGTGGTGAGAGGATTCACCGGAGATAGAGTGAGGAGAACAGGAAGATTTACTGAAATACACTGCTGAGGGGAGCAGCAGGCAGGACAGGAGAGGTCTGCTGTGCCATGTCCCTGACCAGAGATCAAACTTATGCTGCATTGGCGGATAGTAGCTTCATAGTATTGAGACTTTAACCTCTGCACCACCAGAGAGACTCTTGGTAGGTAAAGATATCTTATCACACAGAGCACTGACTATATAGAAAAAAACTTGTTAAATTGGACTTACTCAAATTCAGAACTTTTGCTTTTCAGAAGACAGTTAAGAAAAAGAAGTAAACTTCATACTGGAAGAAAATATTTGTCATAAATAACACAAGACTTTTGTCAGGAATATACAGAACTGTTAGCAACCAGTAAAAAGAAGGCAGCCCAACTTTTAAAGTAGGCAAGAGATTTGAACATTTCACAAAATAAACCATAAAATTGGCCATTAGCACATGAAAAGATGTTCTACTATCAGTCATCAGCAAAATGCAATTTAAAACCACAGCAAATCAGTACTGTTTCAGCCTCAAAAGCTGAAATCAAAAATGTGTTTGCCAAGGTGTGGCATGACATTTTGGAGAATAATTTGCTACTTATTTTGATACTAATTTATATTTCCCATACTGTGTAAAACTGCATATGTGCCCGTGGTCCTCTGGACTGTATACCGTGGAGTCTTGGCAGTGGAGGGTGAACACACTATCTAGACTTGTATACTTTCTGTGACATTCACACAAGGATCAACTGCACAACGGCATTTCTCAGAACATGTTCCCATTAAGCAGCAAGGATGTACTTAAAGCCAAGGAAGGAGCAAACTGGACGTGCGGACAACGTGGATGAATCTCGGGAGCATGCCAAGCAGGGGAAGCCAGATAACAGTACTAGAATGAGGTTCATGAAGTAGCTGTCAATGCTATTTTAATCTGTCAAAATTCCATCATGTGTGTATGAATTCATTAACTCCAGTACCTTTGGAAACGACTGCCAAGTGTGAATTTAAAATAACAAGTGTTACCTTGGTGAGGAGTGGTGCAGCAGCAGCCACCACCTGTGGGGCAAGTGCATAGATGCTGCTCCCTGCACAATTCTAGACCCTTCTATTACAGGCCGCCTGTGCTGAAGGGGCTCTCTACACCTTGACCCTGCCCCAGCTGCAGCTGCTTTCCAAAGTGAGCGTGTTTCCCAACAACCCCATGAGTCTTCTTTGCTCTCCTGACTGGCAGTGGGTGTTCGTGTCGACGAGGAACTCAGACCTGGGCCCGAAGGTCAGTGTCGGGTTGTGTTCCTTGCACTAGGGGCTGACACTGTGAGCAAAGTATTGTGTTCTGCACCCTAGGCCTGTAGGATGCATCTGGGAGGAAGGCTCCTCATGTAGGACCAAGGCCTGCAGCTACCATGATGAAGTCACTGGTGACAGTTCACCATAGCAGTGACCTCAAGACACTGGCTGAATTGGTGGCACTGCTGGGCTTTCTGGGATGCTGCGCTCCCCACAGGCTGAAGGGGGTCAGCTGTCCTGCTGGAGTTCTGTTGAGAAGAGCTTTGGGGCATTAGCTAAACCTGGTGGAACATCTCTTGAGACATCTAGTGATCTGATAACAGAGATCCCATGAGGTTGAGAACAATAGTTGCAGCTCAAGCCCAGAGGAATGCTGACCAGCTGGGGAAAAGGCACAGACTCTACAGACTGTGGCGTATGTGTCACCAGCCTGTGTGTGTGTGTGTGTGGGGGGGAGATTGGGGGGAGGTTTCTCTGCCAGTGCTCTAGGCGCAGAGAGAGTGATACAATTTCTGAGTCCTGGCCTGACCTGGAAATTAGAGAAGAAAAGAAAGCAGACAGCTGGAGCAGCTCTGGGACATGTTAGGTTTGGTAGCCAGGAAAAAGAATTCCAGGATGAACCAGCCATGCTGGAACCTGGTAGCCAGGGAGGCCAGTGGGCAGGAAGGGCAGCCAGACAGGCCACAGCATGAGTGAGCAGCACCAGTAGAGGGGGCATTTGGGGTCAGGTGCTGAGGTAGCAAAGGAATATGTAGAACAACACTGAGGGCACAGCAAAGTGTGACATGCCTCCACTCAGAACCAGAAGGCCTTTGTTTCAACTGTCCACCACACTGGCCACACTGGGTCCTGTGTGCTGAGGCATTTCCAGCAGGCAAACGAGGGCTGCTATGAAACATGCCATTCTGGGCATTGCAATCTGGTAAAGAGGGCCCACAGATGACCCAAGCTGCCTAGTAAGATCCACCAAGGTCATGGTGGGTGTGTGTATGCGGGCAGAGGCGATAGGAGGCTTCTTGCAGTGCTCCAGGTCAGATGCATGCCCACTCTCGCCTTGGCTTTTCCCCAGGTGTTCCAAACGTGCTCCTTGCTGTGTCCATTGGAAGACGAGTCACCTGTCTCCGCCACCCTCCCCATCTTGCTGACCTCCAGAGCTTGCTGGGCACCTGATGAGGTGGCCAGGCTCATAGTGATGCACAGAAGTGATAACGGCATGCAGTTGGTTGTTACTACTTATGAGCTAGAGGCCAAGAAGTCCAGGGATAATGTGGACATTCTGGGTAAGAACCCTGTGTTGGGACTGTCGCCACCATTGCATTAGGCTGCTTCAAGTGCAGAGTCCCCTGCTTCCTTTAGGGTACTTTTTCATTTTTCTCAGTGAATATAGTAGCCTAGCAAGTATTTTGTTGTCTGTGATTTATGTACTGAGTGACTGATTGAGTACTTCCACTTTGTGGCCCTGGGATTCACTGTCCACTGAAACTCCCGTCTCACCATCCTTCCATCATTCTTACCTCTCTTCTCCCAACAGTGTTAAATGCACTGTTCTCAGCACCAAGTATCCACAAAATGAATAAAAGCCATACCTCTGTCTTCCCCAAGGAGTTCCTAGCCCAGTAGGAAATAAGACCCACAGACCAGCCCTCTTCTTTTAGGTCTCCGAAACCCTGGGTCATACTGACATGCCTTCCCTCTGGTCTTTGGCATTTTCTCTTTTGTATTATGTTTGTTTATATATTATCATTTGACCATAAATTTTACTCTGAGCTTCCTGGCAGCTGAGGAAAAAGGGGAACAGGATGTATAATATAAGTCCCTTGTCTGATACAAGAAAACGCATGAATTCTTCAAAAGAAGAATTCATTATGCATTTTAAGAAATGATCCAGTTTATTTTTTTTTAATAAATAATGCTATGTAGTATAAAAGGTGATGATGACCTTTGGTAGATGTCGAAGATGTCATGGCTCTCATGTGGCCATTCTTATGGGCTCATCATAGATGGAAAGGGGAGACAGCAGGTAGACTTACTGTGGATGTCATGAGCACCAGTGGCAGTCCTCCATGTGATACTGCCTTCAGTCATGCAGCCCCGGAAGTAAGGCTTCATATTGCTTTAGAACCATGAATGGGAATCTGGGGGAGTAAGTGCATGATCATGATTGAATGCAGGTATAATTGCCAAGGTGTTCCTCTTCTGAATGTACCACATCATCTTAGGTGAAGCTTATCTATTCCAGACTCTCAGCTGCTATGGAGAGGTGTCAATCTATGTGTTTTTATTTCAAAAAGTACAAGAAATTGCAAGTTTCCTTCTGTCGGATACCATGATGCCGCCTCATCTCATGAAGGGCCATGGCTCTCAGGTGATCCTGCTGGTGTCAGGCTCAGAATTGGTGCTCTTCACTATCCATGGCCTCCAACTGGCAGCCTTCCAGGACCACCAGCGGCCCATCACATCCATGTGGGTGGTGAGTATGGTGCCACCCACCCCATCTTCACTCCCCACTTCAGAGACCATGTTCCTGCCTCACATAGCTTTTCATTTCAAGGACCAGAGCCGCGTCATCACCTCTTCCTTTGACCTCTCCTTGAGAGTCTACATGTGGAATAAAGAAAATAAATTTCCTGTCCTCAAGAGCTGCTATCATTTGCTTGGGGGGTCCCACAGATGGGCCAGGTAATTGCTTCTCCTTCCTTTCACCTGCCTGTGGAATGACCTTACCTAGACCCCGAGCGGCACTTCTTCAGGAAGGTCATTGTACAGGGTGGGACAGACAAGAGTCTTAGCCTAGCCTTCCCCTCCCCATCTGGGACCTACGGCAAGTCCCCACTCAGCTTATGTTAAAAAAGATACTGTGTACCACTGATACATTCTCCTGTCACATGCAAAACCACCACCTACAGTTGGCATCTTCCAGATGAAACAAGGTCAAAGATATGGCCGTCCCATAGGGGCACACAGTCAAGACAGGTGGATGCCAATGTGGCCCTCCCTCCATAATCCAAAATCATAGGTATATTCACCAAACACAGGAAGTGGAGGAGAATCAGTGGAGTTGAGATTATAAAAGTTTGAAAGGACACACTTTTGCATCCTTTTAAAATGAGGGCTTTAGAATCACAGATTTTTCTCAGCAGGGTAGGTGCATGGTTATACTCCTCCTCTATGGAAATACTTTACTCTTAAAAAAGGGTCCTTTTCTCCCACTAATAGCAGTGTGTCCCTTCCTTCGCAGTGGGTTCACCCATGTGGAGAGTGACAGCATGAGCATCGTGGGTGTGGAAGCCAGGAGCATGGGCACGAGTATCCTTAGGTCCTACTACTTTGAAGTGCAGCACAGCTGAGGGAATGGTGTCCGTCTCAGAGCTTGGATCCATACAGCAGCGGAAGTGATTGTTTCATCAGCATTGGGAGAGGACTGTTGACTATCAAATGCTTGCCAGCAGCCAAGCTCTGGGCTTTATGGCTTTATATTTAAATTCTCCTAAGTAAGGTCAGTATTATCACTGTTTTTCCAGACAGGAATATGCGTGACAACAGGAGTGCAGTTAACCCATTAAGTTAACTGATTATTCAGCTCATGTTGATTCTGGGTTTGTAACATGGTTGGTTTTTGTTGTTTGAATATGTAATTAAGTAAATATTTTTTAATCTTCCTACTCTGTGGTGTAAAATGGGTGTTTTCCCCAGGCAGTCGTGTGCAGTGTCATGGATAAGGCACTCTGCTAGTCTCTAGGAGATATGCTGGCAGAACCATGGACAGGGCCATAGGGACAAAATCCTGTTCTGTGATTAGTGGTGAGGATGTGAAGAAAAAGGAACCTTCATGGGACTGCTGTGCAACTCCTGTAGAAAACAGTAGGAAGGTTCTTCAAAAATATTAAAAACCGATAACATGAAACAGCCATTCCACTGCTGTGTAGCTACCTACAAAAGCAGTCATTTAAAGGGAAAAATACACCCCTATGTTCATTACTATTAATAATAGTCATTAGGGAAGCAGCCTAAATGCCCAGAGATACAGCAGTGAATTAAGGAGTGGTTTACATATGCAATGAAACACTACTCAGTGATGAAACAAAAGATGAACTCTTGCCATTTGTGACAACATGTTTAGAACTGGTGGCGGATTATGGTAAGTAAAGTAAGTCAGAAGGGGAAAGATAAATATCAGATATGTGGAATACAGAGGGGAAAAAAAGTGGAACTAGAGAAAATTAAACCAAAACAAGCCCTAGAAATATGACTGCAGACTTGTGGCTACTAGAGGGAGAGAAAGTGGGTGAGAACAAAGGGGTTAGGGGACCCCAAGGCCTAGACTAGTACAGGATTATGGGTGCTTTGATGGTGGGGGTTGTTGTGGAAACAACATACATCTGAGATTTGAACCTGTACTCCTGAGCCATATGTGTTGTTAACAATGTTACTTCAATAAAAGAAAAAAAGAAATTCTAAATCCATTAAGAAAAGAATAAAACCTTTCCTTTGTATTCACAACTTAGTTTACAGTCATGAAGCTTATCTTTCGGTGTCTATCAACTTTCTACATGACTTCCTCACTAAATCATTTGTAGTTTTCATTGAAAGTGAGAGACATGCAACTCTTCTTTCCACTTGAAAACAGACGCCATTGTTAAGCTACTGTTTGGCCTAACTTCATGGGAGAATGCTGGTTGGTGGGACAGTCAGAACATACACAGCATTATTTCACCATATTCTGTGGGTGCAATTCATGGTGCCCCAAAATAATTACAATATTTACATTGAAGATCACTGATCACAGATCAACATAATCGATGCAATAATTATGAAAAAATTTGAAATACTGCAGTTACCAAAATAGGAGAGACATGAAGTAATAAGTACATTAGAAAAACAGCATTTGCCTTATTTGACACAGGGATGCCACAAACCCTCAATTTGTTAAAAAAAAAAAATGCAACATCTGAGAAACACAGTAAAGCAAAGTTTAATAAAATAAGGTATGTCCATAACATTACGTTCCATCACTTGGAATTGCACCAAATTACACAAACTTCCTTCCCCAGGAACACTGAATATATAGGCAACAAGAAAGAGGACGCTTGGTGAACCAGAACAAGAATCTAATCCTCTCCCTTATCACAAACTGCTCCATCCAACACTGCAATTATTTCCTATACTGCGTATGGCTCAAAATTCTTGTAGATTTTTACTTGGGAACAAAATCTGATTTTTACTTATTTCCCACAAGCAACACTAGCCACAACCAATTCTCCAATGCCACGAATGAGCTTTCTATTAGTCCCCCTGACACTGACCACCCAAGGATCACTATTCTGGGGAAAGTAGAAACAGCATGAATGTGGACCACATCACAGTGATGAACAGACACTTAATCGTGCCCAAGGAATCCCCAAATGGCTATATGGTTGGAACTCTGAGCTGAATCACAGTATTTCTTAGGGATCATGTTGTTGGACAACTACATAACCGCAGATTACACAATGGCCGTGAGGGGGCATCTGTTAACTGCCCACCATCCTGCTGCATGTGGACTGATACACAAAGTTTTATGGATACCTAAGGACATGTTTCAAAGGGACCACAGTTGTCTACTGACTAAAGAGATTGAATAAATCAAACCCATCTCCTTGTTTTCCCTACTTTGTAAGTTAACTGCAAATGAATTTCCAAATCGTGTAGGATTTGGGGTCTTTAGAATGCTTTATCACTGGCTCCAAACTTGGATATCACAAAGTAGCATGCAATTTAAATTATAAAACAGCATGGAGCCAGCAGATGAAAAACTCAAGCTGCTACTACCCTGTAGAGCTTTCTGATCCAGTTATCAGCCTGGGCTATTGTTTATTATAAATAAGCCCAAAATGCCTGTACCTATCAGTCCCTTCACAGCATACTAAGCTCTGACCACCTCATTGTTGTGAGATGTCCCACATAAATGCTTTTTCTGTGTTCCTCAAAAGAGTGATCCTTGGATGCTAAGTGCCTACCTGTAGCTCAAAGCCTGCTGGTACCCAACTCAAATTTTTACATATCTGATTGCTTTAAATAGAGCCCAAATAAACCCAGAACCTAAAGCAAGAAGGGGCCTACTGAGTAGTCTAATCCAGTTTTCATATTATATAAAGTACAGCTTATGAACAGAAATGAACTTACCTAGAGATATGTTAGTAGATGAATTAAGAAAAGAATCTGGGTTTCATTACATAGTAAATGAAAATACCAATTAAAAGAAAATCAATTGGAATACAATTGCCATTTTGGAGATGTCTGTGCATACATTATTCAACCCTTAAAGCAATCTTTTAATATAAGGGTTTAATCACCATCTTGAATAAAAGAAAAAAGTTTCTAAGTTCGGCATCACACATGTTAATACAAGGCAAAACCTGAATTTGAATCAAGATTCTATGCTTCTTTTATATAATTTTCATTCTAATTTTACCTCAACTTTATTAAAAACTTAAAAAATAAAGCAATGAGAAAAGAACAGGATTAAAGCAAATAGATGTATTCCATGATCAGTATCAGAAAGTTCTTTACAACAGCTAAGAGTTATTCTTGTCTCAAAGAAAGTCTCAACAGAAAAAACATGCGCACTGCATATTACCAGTCAAGTCATAAAAACTAGGATCATCTGGAAAAAAATGACTATTCCTTGCTTGTAGGAGGCATCTGTTCTTTGTCATACAGACCAGCCATTTATATGTTCAGTTGTATAGTCATTTTTCTTTTTAACTAGTCCCCGTGGTTTCTTACACTGCTTTCTTGAGTCAGATATGGATAACAGGAGACTCCCATGCATTTTGTGTTGAATCTTTTCCAAGAACTCCTCACCTACAGAAGCACTGGTCACCAGAATGGCAGTCGAGGAAAATAGCCAGTTGTCTTGTGAAGCTTTCCCAAGAACTTCCTCAGGTTTTCCTTTTCCTTATCAATCTCCCTGAACCGGGAATGTAAAGCCTTCTGGAGTTTTTGAATGTGGAGCCTGGTCCTCTTCTCTTCTCCCATGTTGTTCACGAGGACCTTCCGCATATATATGGGGTCGCTTACTAGCAAGGTATTCTTCATTTTATATTCCATTCCAACCATGTTCAAACTTTAGTAGAGGAGGTTCAAGTCCAGTGAGTAACGTTCCCTGTAAATGTCTCAGTGAAAATGATTCTCCTGCAGTCTGGAATGTCAGAATGAAGGTACCATGGGAACAAAGACTCACAGAATCTTGGAGCTGAGTAGCATCTGAGATCCATGTAGCTTAAAATTTTATGTTTATCAGAAGTTTTTAAGTTTGCATATACTCTTAGTTTAGAAATAAAGATGAGTGTCTTGAAAGAACAGAATGGCAATCAGGATACCCACTACAATGTTGTGCTTACATTTAGGATAAATGGCGAGTGCCTTTATGTATTTATAAGGGCCAAAATGTCTATGGATAGAGAATAATAGCATGTTCAATAGCTCAGTTTAATTTTAGTAATTATTCTTCATTCTCTTAAAGTTGCTAAAAATTTGAGATTTCTGTGACTCATCTAGATATTAAACTAGATATAAAGGAAAGAACTTAATTACCTACTTTTCACACAATAAGGGATAGGAAACAAAAGATATGTATGCACCTACTCATGTGCCCAAACAAAATATAAACTAAAAACAAATAAAATGATAGGGATGGGAAGGGATAAAGGGGAGGGGTGAGGAAATGGGAATAGGTAGAACAGGAAGAAGGACAGTTCTTTAAGTGTATCTTATAGTTATTCTTACATTTGGAACTATATCAATTTTTCATGCGCTCAAAAGTAATGTAAGTCAAAAAAGGAATGCAGGTAGTATCCCACACTTTAATGTGTATTCTAGTACTGAGGATGAAACAAATATATTATGGGTGATGACAGCCAAGGTGTCTCTGTTGGATAATAAAACTACAAATGAATGAATAAGTTTATAACATACTTTGTGGCACTAAGCTGGAGATGGAAATTCAGTGTAATGTGCTACTATGAGTCAGTATGAATATGTGGTACTCCAAATTGACATTTCTATAATCAGTAGGACACAATGTTCTAAGAATCAGTATGAATTCTTGTGAAGGATAACTCCACAGAAACTCTGGTCTTGAAAGAAGCCTTAGAGACTTAGACTTTGAAATTCTACCCAGCATAGATTGAGCCCTTTATTCTTGGCCTCAAAATTCTTTCTGAATGGGGCAGATGGCAGATTTTATGTAGATATCTTCGTATTTAGCTGGAACTTTCACCTAAGCCTTATTTTTATGCTCTTTACCTTATTATGAGTAGATATATGTGTAATTCTTGTCCTCCTAAATAAAGCAGAAAACCCAAGCAACACGGAATGTTTCAGATTCTTTTAGAAAATTTTACTGATTTTAAGCTTTTAACTATGAGCCTTTGGAAACTTCAAAGATTTAGCAAAATTTGTTCATTTTATCACTAATTGCTACTGATTGCAATTACTAAAAGTCCAAACACACTACATCCTGAGGAAATCTGGTTCTGACCTACACAACCCTGGTACAGAGGTCCAAAAAGGATCTTAACAAACAACCATCCTAGAAGAGATAATCTAAAAATCAACTTTTGGATAAAGAAGATTTGGACAAGTCAAGATAATGCCTTCAAATAATTCACAGGGTATAGAGGGGGAAAGACTGTGTACAATGATAGAAGAACCTAGTACAGCAGGCAAAAATAACAATGAGGAATTTTCCAACTTCCATGTATCCACTAATGTTAATCACTGGAGATATGCAAGAATGATCATCAGAGGAATGTTGTACAACTGAACAATTTACATTTAATTTTAAAAAATGTCTCAAAGATCTTTTCTAGGTCTGAAACCATACCAGTGATCAACATTTCCACATTTACAACTTAGTGACAGTATAAACAACTAAACTGAATTTGGCTAAAAGTTTAAGCTACAGATTGATGGGGAAGGGTGGTGGTGAATCCAACTACAAAGATCCCCTCTTCTAGTGATAAGGAAAAAAGAATGTGTAACTGGGAAGGGTTGTTTTGTTTTAAACAAAATGCCAACACAGGGGCAGGGAGAAAGGGTATGCTGCACGGCCAGGGGCACACACAGGGATTCATACAGGCACTCATGGGTATATACAAAAACATACAGAGTCACATAAGCAGATACACAAACAAGCCAGGAGTAAAAAATGAACTAATGAAACACATGATGGGCCTTACCCATACATAAATTCATGAACCAGGACACATACAAGCACGTGAGAAGATGAACATACACCCTGGGACAGGCAGGGCTGTGCAGTAAGATTTTCTGTAATCTTGAATGGGTTGTGTATCTGTCCTGTCCAATGATGGCCATTGGCCAATATGGCAAAGACCAACAGAAATGAGCCCCCTGTAACTGAGGAGATGAATTATAAAATTTGTTTGATTTTAATTGA